TAAATTCTGCATACCGAGCAATCTGTGTAATAATCGATATATGAGTATTTCGGAGAAGCCAGGTACGCAATAAAGACGGCACGTAAGGCGCGCGTGTCTCGGAAGATGTTACCTCACGCGGTCGCTTATTTGCGACGCGGGAATGATTCGAAAACAACACAATGAAATTTTGCCGATGTTTGCAACTACGGAGAAATTATTTAGAAGTGTTGGTGCACATTTGCATCGGTGGCTCGAATTATATTCTATGCGTCATGAGCGACCGTGGACCGAGAGAAAACAGTAGCGCCGAAATAACAAAAAACGCTAGGTGGCCCCAAATCGATAAAGATATAGATTAGCAATTTCCAAAGTGGTCCACATGGTCCACCTGGAGTCTATGTCAATATTCAGGAGATCCACGCCAGCGACAAAAAATTTTGTAATCCACGAAATGAAAATGTGGGTCTAACGTTCATGGTAGTGGATCACAATACACCACGTTAATATCTAGCTTCTTACATTTTATTATCTATATTAAAAAGTCATATACATTTTTATAAATGGAACTAAAAAGTAAATAAAAATTTAGTTCTTTTTATAAAAATATGCAGACATTCGATTTATGGTCCCAATATGATTCAGCTTGTAAAGACCCAATTTGCTGATGATTGAAAGACTTGGAAATATTGTTTACGCTTTTTGAGACTACCATAGTATTTTTGGATACTATAGATAAAAAAATGATTTAATAGTTGTAAAATAGTGATCTTCTAACAAAAATAGATGTAGACTGGACATCAATGGCTGCGAGATGTAAGATTAAGCCTTACAAAATTGTCAAATGTTGATAATCAAACATTTTCTTCCCCATACTTTTTTGTTATTATTATTTTAAATTCAATTAATAAATAAGTACAAATATTATGTATTTTTACTTCAAATATTTAATACTAAACTTTAGTACAGTTAGAAATTTATAAAAAAAACGATATTGAGTAAATAGGAAGTCCATGATAAAGCCCAAGGGGTCCATGATACCTATGAAAAGTTTGGGAACCTATGATATAGATGAAGATTGATTATACATACGTGGGTAAAGTTTCATTAGATGTTACTATAAATTAGTAAAGAATATAAATAAAAAATCAGAAATTTTCGAACTGAATCATTTTCACAATTTGTTTAATAAATTTAAAATAAATAAACGATATAAATTTCATCACATAGATTTATGAAAACCGTTTGAGTTGCCATCTATAAAGTCATGTCATCAAAAAAAAGTCAGCACAACAGCTCATAGAACACGTTAAGTTCTGATTACTATTAAAAATATTAAAATTAATATAAATAAAGAATCTTGAATGGATGTCTTAAATTGCCTATTGATTACTAGATACCTATTATATTTTACTTGGTCTTCAGTGCATTGGTATAATTTCAAAACTATAAATATTGTTATTATGTCGGGAATTTAATTTTGAAAAATTAAAAATAATGATTGTAATTGAGCCAGGTCGATTCTTAAAGCATCTTATACATCACGACTAATATTTACTACCAAAATTCCCGCAATTTTTTACTACCAAAATGAGAAAGTGAAATCTTCAGATCTGCTGATCGAATGTTGTATATCCACAAAAATAACGAAATATAAGACTACGAAGCATTGTGCAATTATTTTTACGCACTATAAAATTTATTTCTACATTGCCTTAATAATAAATAATAAGCATAAATTCATATCTATATGTGATCTTGCGTCGGGAATGCGTATGTTCTCTTTGCTCGCCTTTCACTGATATCTGGTACGTTTATTTTAAAACTCGTACAAAGATTATCTGAATATTTACAATTAGAAGCAGCACATTAATAACTTAAATTCATATAAAAACCATCATCTTCTTATCAACTTTTTTCCTTCGTACGACTGAAGTTAGTAACTTTCTTCCCTCAGTTATTTTATTTTACGATACTATACGAAAGTGCCTTTTAAACCTTTGCGTGTCCATTTTTTTACTGCGAAAAGAATCAGGCACGAAATAGTTTGTACAAAAAAATTCTACACCCTAATCTATGACAATATAACGGTAAAGCAATAAAACTGCTTCCCGTGCGAGAGATGAGATGGACCGAAGGCCGATCGCCGGAGATTTCAGAGGTAAGGAATGTTTTCTATGGAGTTTTATGGCAAAGAAAGCAAGTGCAAACTAGAAAATATTATTTGTAATAAGGTATAATAAATGCGCATATTTCAAAAAATCCCAGGGTAGACGATAGGAAGGCAAGACCGAGTCGAGGCGTTTTCGAAAAGGACTCATGCTACAAGAGTATGGAGGATCATAAGCATATGCTGATTTATAATTATATTTAATAGAATATTAAAATCATAATATATTATTCAAATTATTATCCCAACTTTTAATATTAGAGTATTTATCTGTAAATAACAAAGAACTCATAAATAACGTCATACACCACCCCATATCATACAATACCCTTCTACAAGAACTAACAATTCATTTACATTTAGCAGTATAAAGATTAAGTTGATCTATTTTACCCCACCCATATATAAGCTTTTATAGAGGTTATTTAAAAAAATTGTTGGATATGACTTAAAAAAATCAATAAACCTTGCATAACAATTAAATAACGTGTACCTAAAAATTATATTTGGTATCATGAACTAAATACAAGAGCTCAAAACCAAACAAAACTACTAACGAAAAACAAACTTTTGGTATGAATATTGATACATTTTTGTTTATCTCCTGATTAAGGTGATGGCTAGTAGCGTATTGTTTGCCTTCTACTTTAAAATAGTATCACTAACAAATTATATACTCTGATTGTCTTTGAGTTATTGATGTTGGACCTTTTTACCCGCGGATTTTTAAGCCCCCTGTTTTTGTTATCATTTCACAGAAAAATAGATATATTTACTTAGCCTCGGTCAATATTCGGTGTTTTTTTGGTGATCACGTAATACCGACATTCCCAGCATCATAAATCAGATCGGGATGGCAACCTTATGACGGACAGCAAGTGTTTACAACTTGTTTACAAGCATGAAAATTCGAATTGTACCTGTGCTATCTTTTATTATGCTTATCTGAAGTCATTGAGGAAAGGAACATGTGCATCCGCTAAAATCAACAGACTTTCTTTGAAGGCAATAGTTGCTTGGTACTAGTATTTTGAATTGAAATATTTTCATTCAAGAATAATCAATAAGAGATTTAGCAAGCTTAATTAGAAAATGCTAGGTAAATTTGCAAGAAGGGTATCCAATTTTTATGTCCAGAACTTCAAAAATTTATAAAATTAGTACTTTGACAAATTAATAAAGATTCTTAAGAATACAATTAACGATTAATTACTTGAACATAACAACAACTCCCAAATTGACAAAATTACAAAATAAGCACAGTTCAAAATGGATCAGAAAGCGTCATTGAAAGGTAGATGATGCTTTTTTAAGTTATGCAATATGATTTTTAATTTCCAAAATTAGATAGATCAAATTTGTTTGCGTAATAAATTAAAAACTAGAAAATACATAAAATTAATCAAATTACAACTTTTTAAATTTTTTTTGAATTTTATCTATCTTTATTTTTATCAAATTTGATAAATCAAAAATTTATAAGAGAATGAGTTACTATACTAGCAAATATAACAGAAAAGCATTAATTAACCGAATTCCAAAATAAGCACAAAGAAAGCTGGAACGTAAAAATATGCACCATTGGAAGATAAAAAATACGTAGCTAAACACTTTTCATCAGAGAAATTAAAAGGACATTTTAATCTGAACGACGACGATTTAAAAAAATATATGTAATTTCATAATTTATTAAGGAACCGTAAGGAAATGTGTTAAAGCGAATCACTTGAATATAATAAAGAAAGCAATAGTTTTAAAAAAACCAAAATATTCATAATCAAAAATAGAATAAAAAAAATAGAGCCTAGATTGTATTGCTATTAAATTGTTTGGTTTTTTATAAAACTGATCAAATTTGCTGAATTTGAATACACTATCAGAAAAATTACTCCAAAAATATTCCAATTTAAATGTTGATGATTTAAAAAAAAAATTAAACATCTAATTTGGTATATTAGAAACTCATAAGTGAATATGGTCAAAAAATCACTTGAATGTAACAAATTTGTATTAATTAACAAAATTTAAAGGCCATTAAGCGACACACCTAGTGTGAAATTTTCAAAAAATCGAACTTTCAATTTTTTCATATTTGATAGGTACCTTTATAGGCAGAATATAGGTAGATATATACCTTTAAAAACAATATACCAAAATTTTAAATCGATATCTTAAATAGTTTTTGAGTTAAAGAGTATTTATATAGTTCCCAAAAATCACCTTTTTTAGGCGGTTACACTAGTTGTGCCCCTTAAGATTTTTAAATTAAAATAAACCAATTAAATAAAGTCATAGATTGCAGTAGGAAAAATGCAAATTTGTACGTTTCAGTTTTAGTCATTACAATTACATTAAAATAACCAGTCCTAATTGTTTTTTCCCTAGCTGTAGTTTTGTCCAATACATCCAGTTAACGGGGCAATGTAAATAATAATTGCTATGTTAAGGAACAATTTAAAAAATACATTTTGCTACATTTTTATATCACAGAACAGCACGTAGTGACTGATGTAGACCACGAAATATTTTCGAATGGATTCAAATTAAATTTCAAATTGTATGTAACATATTCATAAGCATTAAATAATTATTTATATTTTCCAAAGCATAAGTTAATTCAATTCATTAAAGCAAGTCAAATTCGTTAAATAAATTCAAAAAAGCTGATCCATAATCAATAAGAGATTTAGCGAGCTTAATTGGGAAATGCTAGGTTCATTTACCAGAAGAGCATCCTATTCAAATGTTCAAATGAAAATAACATAATTTGTACCAAATCTTTATTTTCCCTATCAACTCCATACATATCCCTATCCTTTACTATTCGAAAGAAGGCAATGAAAGTTCCTACCTGGTGCTTGAGTTTTATTATGGTTGAGTCAGTTGAGTCACCCCGGCCGTCGCTCTGGCGAAGGTATGAAGCTATGAAGGTATTCCGTCTCTCTCAAAGCGCGTATCGATCGACACAGACGTCGACTCATGCAAATGCACAAATAAAACATTGCTGTGCCAACCTGGCGACCGCTTAGGGCTGGTCAAATGGACAAATTCAGACTGGGGTAATGGATTTTTCCCAGACAATGAGGAAGGATCACCTGGAATCTAATAAGAAACATAATTTATAATTTTTTTATTTAAAATATTAAATACCAATATTTATTTATTATTTATTTATTATATAGCCCACAGAGTAGCTCCAGGATGACTTAAAAATACAATTTTGATAATACATATTAATAATATGTCTTTACCAAAAAAAAACATTCAGAACATATATGTAAATTATCGAGTTAAAGTTGTAAAAGGTTACCCAGTACTAATACTTTTTTTAAACAGGTTAAAAAACAATAGTTATGAACACCAAAATGGTTTATGATGACTTTTATTGTTGTTGATAGCAATAATATGTAAAACAACACAGCAAAACCATTTAAAGAAGACTTATGAATAAAATATATTACAACAGAACATAATTTTTTAAATAAAGTCAACAATTTGTGAAATCTTTTTTTCTTGTATTGAATTTTCCTTTCCCTTTGTAGTATGTCCTCTTTCGTAGTTTGTTTTACAATTAGTTAAGTTAGATTTTTATGTGTTTAATCTTTACCCAAAAAGGGCAAGAAATACTTGTCACAACCGTACCCACAAAATTTGTCACAACCGTACCCAACGCTTACTTTTAAAAATATCACTATCATTATTACTGAGCTAAACTATCAAAGCAGAAACTAATTGCCAGTAACTAACTAATAATGTTCAACTTAGAACAAAGTGATCTATATGTATAGAAGTAACAGATATAATTAATTTTTTTTGTCATAATTTATTTACGTTAATCGTGACTTTATTAGCTTATTATCGAAAGAAATTGAACAAAGAAAGTTTTTTTTGACTTTATAAAAACAACGTGGTCTACAAATCATATTAATGTAAGGCCTGACTGAAAGCAATAATGGAAACTTGTTCGAGCAAACATACTTCATCTTTCGTCCATTTTGGACCCTATCTCAAAAACAGTATAATATAGCTATTATGAGGACAGTCACTACTGCACCCTGGCACAACCGTACCCAATACTTCCCTATTTAAAAGTCTATTCCGATATACAAAAGTGAATTTTAAGGTGTAATGCTTTTTATGAATTTCAGTGTAACTTTGTTTTAACCAAAAAAATGATATAAATAGATACAAATGCTCTTATATATTATTCAAAACGATAATTAATTTAGTATACTAAAAAGATACAAAAATCTCAAAATTATGTTAATATTTTAATAAAACGTTCCACTAATTCCTATTAGGAGAATTTTAAGAACATTGCAAATAAAAAGCAAAGGGTTCTACTGGGGTTGGTTTTAAATTGTGTAAAAAAAATTATTAAACTATTCTTTATTCAAGAATTTTTTTTTACTATTTTCAATTTGTGATATTTGAAAATAATTATTTTAATGCAATTGCGTTTATTTGTTCACTCGATAGAACCAATAAAACTTTTAAAAAGTACCTTTGACAACAAGAAGAATGATGAAGATTAAGTTGATAAAGAAATCTAATTTATTTATGTTAGAGAAACCAGGCAGAAAATGGCTAATAGATTTAATTTTCCGCTTACTACTGGGTAACCTTTTAGATCTAATGTTTAATATTTCATATATCACCAAATTTATAGTCGATTACTAAAAGCCTGTTATAAAAAATTTGCTTGTAGTTATCAGGAAAAGGAGTGGAAATGAATCTTTTACATTTGTCTATTGAAGACGAATGTATTATTTAATAATGAATGAATTTTGTTACTCCATGATGAATTATTATTATCTATTGCTTTTCTGACACATCCCCCAAGAATGCAATAGCGTGCTTTTAACAGGAAATTACCAGCCCTATCAGTGCGAGGCCCACAGCTCTCCTCTATCGCGCGGCGGACTTGCCCGGCAGTAGCTAAACATCACGTGAATCATTCGCCCAAACAATGGACAGAACAGGGCTTACGAACCTATAATTATCTCGTTGAGATTTTTACACACCTGCCCTGGGAGAGGGAAAAGTTTGAAACAATGATATCATCGATCCGGGGAAGATATATTGGCATTGGTGATAAATAAAAAACACTCAAGTGTTTACTAATAGAAACAGATCAATATGTTTTCCTACGCGATCAAACTTGGAAAAAAATTAATTTAACAATTTAAGGGAGTCTTCCTATGTGATGGGTTGAAAAAATCTTTTTTTTTTTTCATAAATTGCTCCCTTAACATGTCTAGAATACGGTAGTAAAGCGATTTTAGAAAATTCGAAGTCGTTTTAAAGATGCAGCAGGTAAAAGAAAGAGCGGTTCGGAGCGCTTTGTAACGGACTTGAAACTTTAACAATATTTTTTTTTAAAATATTAAACACATAAGCCACTACAAAAGGGATGATGAGCTTATTGTATATGATTCTGTTGCTAATAAACCATTACAAACATACAATCAGCACTAACTCAATGCAATCTTGATATCTATAATATCTTTTTTCTATTCAATTTTCTACTATATATATGGAGTGTGCTAGAACTCGATCCGAGGATCTCTGCAAATCTAAAATGTTACCACTCAGCTACGTATGCAGCATGAATAAATTTAATTCTAACTTGCTATTTAAATTATGTATATAATTTCAAAAATATATACAATACACATAGAATATGAAAATGGCTAAAAAAGTCAACTTTTTTCAGAATGCTCTGCAGAAGGAAAGTAAAATTTAGCTAACTTATCGTTGAGACTTCCAATCAGTCTACGTTGAGTCGTTATATTGAAAATCGCTTTATTTTCCTATCATTATCGATTTTCGCTATGTTTTTTATATAGTCGGTTGATTAACAATGAGGCAGTGGACCCGCGCAAACGCCCGTACCAAATTGTTATCGGCACCTGTGCATCTATACATTAAAACAATCCGTTATAGGGGCGATGTATCACGAGGGCAGGTGCGATTTGTTACATTCGCCACTACGAGGAGAATTATTCTGCGGCCAGGAACAAAGATAAAAATTCGAAATATACACATATCGATGGAGTAAATTCATTCATTCAACATTCAAAAATCATAATAATTGAACGTTTTTGATCATATGACCAAATTTAATAATACATGTTTAGTGGGATGTAGAAAACATTTTTGGCTCAATAACGCAGATGATGCAGAAATATGCGTGATTCCAAATAGATAATAATTGTTTGTAACATATAGAAGCCAATTCTTCGGTAAAATAGACTGTAATTGCTTTTTTCTTGGTACTAAAAGCTCACAAAATGCTTTGTATTTACTATGAAGTTAGGCGTTTTAGTTATAAAAACGAAATTAGCCCTTATATATTATTTTTGATTCTCTAATAAAATAATTAATATTTTTCTTAATGTTTTTATGATTTGTTTTTGAAAGACAGTCAGAAGTATAAAAACAAGTTGTCTGAACATTATAACAGCTTAGAAAGAAAGTTGTAAGATTAAATCCTTAATAGCAAGAGATGTAAGATTACTATGTGAGAAATTGATTGAAAAGTCCTATTCAGATAGACGATAAAAAAATGCAATAGTATTGCACATAAATAATTTAAAAACAAAAATAATTTTGTAACTAATACTTGTAAATTATGATGTTACTCATTATATAAAAACATGTATGATAAAATTGATGTTATCAATTAACATTAATATGAAAAATAATTACAATTAAGAATTAAATTCTGTTCCTTATCACTATTTTCATTCTCCATATACTTTATGCGTTGCGGTCGCACTGAATAATCATCAACATGAATATATTTTCACAATTTAAACGTCAGTAAGTTTATTATCTCAAAAACGTTTTAAAAAACGTATGATTTACGCGCAAATGATTTACCTTGAGCTTTTCCTAGTTCGTTATGTATGCAAATTGCATTTGAACGCATGAGATATAAGTTTGCGAGCGCAAAAAGTGGAAAACAATTTAAAGGATTTTTTGCATAACTTTATTAAGACTATCATTTGGTATGCGTATGAATAAATTTGCTTATGTAATGAATAAGAAAACTGTAAAAATATGGGATATGAATGTGTTTGTAAAATTAAATGAAAAGTGTAGATAATACCAATTGAACGATTTCATACACAAATCGCTATTTAACTTTATTTTTCAAATTTTCAATCCAAGCTACTGCATCGCCAACCGTGACAACTATTTGAATAAAATTATTTTGCCTTATTAACTGGAAAAAATGTAATTGTAGTTATTCGGCGGTCCCTTATTTTTCTATTCGTGTAACCCAAACTACTATATTTACTACTCGTAGTACTTCGATTACTACTCATTCCTTCATTGAATACTCCTCGTATACTACTTTTAATTCGTTCATTGTAACTACTCATGCTACTCGTAGTTGATATTAATTATAGTTCATTCTTGTTGTAATTCATACTACCCTATTACTACTCATTCATTCGTGAAATACTCCTCGTAGTACTACGATTACTACTCGTAGTACTACGTTTACTACTCGTAGTACTACGTTTACTACTCGTAGTACTACGATTACTACACGTAGTACTATGTTTACTACTCATTCATCATTGAATACTCCTCGTATACTATTTTTAACTCATTCATTGTAACTACTCATGCTACTCGTAGTTGATATTAATTATAGTTCATTCTTGTTGTAATTCATACTACCCTATTACTACTCATTCATTCGTGAAATACTCCTCGTAGTACTACGATTACTACTCGTAGTACTACGTTTACTACTCGTAGTACTACGATTACTACACGTAGTACTATGTTTACTACTCGTAGTACTACGATTACTACTCATTCATTCATGAATACTCCTCGTATACTACTTTTAACTCGTTCATTGTAACTACTCATGCTACTCGTAGTTGATATTAATTATAGTTCATTCATGTTGTAATTCATACTACCCTATTACTACTCATTCATTCGTGAAATACTCCTCGTAGTACTACGATTACTACTCGTAGTACTACGTTTACTACTCGTAGTACTACGTTT